ACTAGTAGCAAACTAATTGTGCGATTATATAAAAGATAATCAGATTAATAGGGATTTGTTTTCCACTCGTATTTCCGGTCCATATGTTAGTTATTAATAATTAATTGCCCAAAATTCAATGCGATGCGATTTTTGTCTTTTTGTTTATAATATTATATAATAATGGAGTAATCGGAGTGCCCAACGAGATGAGTTGTAGAGAATAAAAATGTCTACAAAATGAGGGGTTGAATTAAAACATTAAAACCTGAGGTAGTAAATAAATTTCCATCAACAGTTTACAATGTACACTTTAGTAGTTATTTTTCCAATATTCCTTGCCAGAGTCCTTGCATACAGTTGCTGTGTAAACAGTAATATAAATTAATACTTGCGACGAATCATGTGCATTATTAATAATTGAGTTTGTTTTCTATCAGTAAAATTCTGTAAGCCCAATCAAAATATTTAAATATCTACAGCTTACTGTAGATATTGTCCATTAAAAACCAAATGCATCACTGACACAACTTAAAATGCGGACCGTTTTTCCTTCCGACAATCGGACAGCAAATAGACAGCAAAAAAATCGAATAGCCAGCAAAATCGAAAAAAGGATACAAAAACGGAGACGGATCGGGCAGGTAGCGGAAAGATGTGAACTACAGCGTTGAAAGTCTAGTACCCTTTTGCTCTCAGATCTTCGTCCGATTGTATGATCGCAGTCGGATCGGATAGATGTGACCCTTCCTTTAGTCGGAAAACATGGGAGATCACTTCGCCCACTGCCTCATCGCCTTTGATAATGTCCACCGCAGTTGTGGACGAAACGTCAGGAAGAAATTCCCATAGACCACGCCTTCAAAGCCCGGAAAACATTCCTAAATGTGATTTAACCGGCTGTGAAAGCCTTTATAGTCTGATAAAACGCCTCTCCTGTGTTCACTGGCTTTCTGGCTACGATGCCGTGAACGTTCCAACCTTCTAGAAAATGAAGAGGTACTTCAGAACCAACCAGGCCAAGAATATCTACAACCGGGTGGAACGAGCTCTTTTACCTGAACGGATACATGAAACCCGCCGAGATCTTGCACATACTGAAAGTAGACTCTTACCTGTCCATATAGAACTAGCCAACAAAATGCACTGGATTCATTGGGAAAAAGTGGATAGATTAACAGCTGACCGAATGATGGTGGCCGAAGCAGTAGCAACT